TTTATATCTCGGCATGTGGGATAACCCACGAGGATGAAGAGATAAATTACTATTGGATATAAAGGAGGTATGATGTCGGAAGTATGGATCAATGGAAAACTCCATGATGAGTCTGAATAATCATGTCCTAGTTTGGTGCCAATATAAGGAAGGAAGAAAATACAATTGGATGGATTTAAGAATACTAGGAAGATGGAAGTTGGAATAATGATCAGTTGCCCGATGATAAGTTCAAGGACTACAAGTGATGAAGTGTGCCATAACCCACATGCCCCAGGACCTGCCAAGAAGCAAGCACATTCTTGCTGAAGGAAAAACCCTGGAAGTGGATATACCTTTGTCGACAAACGATTTTATAGGAGTTTACGCAAAACCTGAGAGTTGTGAAGGAACGATAGATGTTTGTCTGGCTTGCAGAATCAATGGATTATTCCGAACTTGGTTCGTCAACGAGAGAAATTCAGCAATGCTTGTGAGGATGACCAAGTGTTAGAATGCGAGATTCGCTAAACCATATACAAGGTAATGATTTGGGTGCGGGATGGATTGATCACCATACCGACTTACTCTTATTGTTCGCCTTGTTATATGGAATGGTAAATCTGAGCGACTTACCTATAGTAGAGAGACGATGATGAAAACCTTGTTTAAACCTTAGAATGGTATAGCAATTTTTTCCCTTGTACAAGGCAGCTTTGCCAACCGTAGGTTATACGGTGAGGATCACCCTGACCCATTTCCTGCAGGAGAAACCATAAATGGTTGACCACCATGAGATATCGATAGTTGTTTAGTATTGGCGCCAGACCCGTCAGCTAAGAAGACCCAGTCTCGGAATAACCTTACCAAGATAAAAGGACGGAAGAATTGAGGAAAAGGTTATGCCACTACCGGAAGAGCTCAGAGAAGGAATTTTCTCGAGGATCTGAGAAGACCGACCTTGTCAAGAATAAGGATGGAGTATATGAGTATTGATGGGACTGTAACGATGTTTCTAAGGGTGGTAGCACCCCAGACCCCGGAGACGATTGATGGATTTTGAGAAGACCCCGAACCTAACCTATTTCTTTCTAGCCTCTCCGAATCTCGAGGACGAGATTCATTTTAAGGGTGGTAGGTTTGTAACATCCCAAAATTCTAAATTTTGGAATGTTATAATAAATAGATAGATTTGATTGATTGTTTGATTGATTGTCTAAAAGTGAGTGAAATTCAAAACTTTTTGAAAGTTAAATGAGAGGGAATAAAAGGACTTTCCCAAACTTTCATTTTTGCATTTTGCTCTCCGTGAATTCAAATACTTTTTTCATCACGAAACCCTGGAGAGAAGATGACATGACTTCTTCCATTTATTTAAATGACAAGGGTTGTTGAAAATATTTGAATTTCATTTGAAAATATTTTCAATTCATAAACTTCATGCAGCTCAATGATTTTCATGAGAGAAGATAAAATGACTTCTTCAATTTATATGAAATATGAGTTGGGAGTTCAAAGAATTAAATTCAAAGTTCTTTTGAATTTATTTTCAATTTGGAGTTATTTGAGTTTTATTCAAATTATTTTTCTCCAAAAATAAAATATATGGAAATTAGGGTAGCATGATTCCCTACAACAGAAAATTGGAGATAAATAAATTTGAAATCATTTTGATATTTTTAAAATGATTTTTATTGGATTTTATTAGACCAGTAGCACTCTTTGAATTATCTAAATTTGTGTGGATTTTATTTGGCATTATAAAAATGTTCACCGTGTAGAAAATCTTTTTCTGAAAATTTTGATATATTATATGCCTATATAATATTTTCTTTTAATTTCTTTTATTATTTTATTTGTCTGGAAATGTTTTTTTTTAAAACAAAAAAAAAGAAGAAGAATCCCGACTGGGCCGACCCAGCCGAAGCCAGGCCAAGGCCCAGCTCCACGCCGCCTTCCCCGTTGTCCCCGACCGGGACTCTCCCCGGAGTCCGGCGCCGCCCCGCCTCCATTGCCCCTCGCCCAAGCCGCCCTCGCCTCCCCCCTCCTTAAATCCGGAGCCCCGGGCCCCTCTCCCTCTCCTCTCCCCGCATCGCCGCAGATCCGCGCCGCCGCCGCCGCATTGCTTCGCCGCCCGCGCCGCTGCTCGCCTGCGCCGCCGCCTGCTAGCGCCGCTGCCCGCGCCGCCCTCTGCCGCATCCGCCGCTCGCCGCCTCCCGCCGCCCGCTACAGTATATGAAGAAACTGCTCCTCACGCCCCAGGTCTGGGTCCTGGATCCGCCACTGTGGAGGAGGACAATGTGAGACTTCATCCGTTCTTTGCCGGTAGCTTCCCTTTGGGGTATTTGGAGTGGCAGTTGTAGTCTTCGACCGCCGGAGGGTGATGTCGTTGGTAGTTGTTCTGCTGTCGGAGGAACGAATCCTGGCCAGATGTCGTGTGGTCTAGGCCTGCTTATTCGCGAGCCGGGTGGCTATCTCCACGGCGCCCGCCTTCTACTTTGCGACGCGATTAGACTCTTCGATGCTGATCTGAAGCGTCTTCGCATTTATGCAACGATGGTGGCGAGCGTCGGTCTCAACCGAAGTGAAGGATTGGCGGATGATGTCGTGGAGGAGGTCGTCTCCGTCCTGGCACAGGTCTACACGACCTGCAACCGGACCAGCTGGAGGCAGCACATGTCACCCTCTGCCTTGCGCAGCAAGTGACCCGCACCTCGGACTCAAGCAGTTGCGGTTGCGGGCACGAGCACCCGGCACACCACCTGGGAGGAGCCGGGCCTAGAGATACCGGGCACCACCGGTCGCTCAGGGAGGGCACAAGCCGGTGTGTAGCTACAACCGCCCCTTCAAGCCACGGAGCTCGAGCTCCCGCCCATGTCCATTCACAACCGGCGAAGGGCAATGCAAAGAACGAGATTTTGTCGTCCAGGGCGAAGAAGCTGGATTTCTCCTTGAGGAGCGCCACACAGTAGATTGGATCAACCTCATCACCGGATTCACCGCCAGAGTTGGACATCATGTGGGGAGGGACGGGGAGGGGAGGAGACATGCAGAGAAGCAGAGCGGTCAAGAGTGGATTGTGGACTAGGGTTTGATGGGCTCAGCGTGGACGTTTGGGCTGAGTATACGATGTCCGATTGGGTGACATTTTTTGTCCGGGTAGTGACTGAATCCGTCCGGACATTAATGAGTTTGAGGAGCTCAATTATAGATGCTCTAACTTCCTCATAATATAATTCACCCTTGAGAAACAAGTCAAAATTTCTCAGACAATGTTAGCTTGTAGATGTCCACGCTCCCTCACATCTCTTGATTTCACTAGGCTTCCTATTTTTACAGCCTTCTCATTCAATTGGGGATCGGATGCACAGTTTTAATCAGGTCATCGCCTTAGGCTTTGTGGTTGGATCTCTCGATAAGTGCCTGGGTGGTGTGGTGTGGGTCTTGGTTGGCAAGAAGGAAGAGTGTAGCATCTCACATACACTTATTCATTAGAAGTTGACTCCAATCACACCACAATTAAAAAAATACACTGTTAATGCATCTCACATACACGCATTCATTAGAAGTTGACCCCAATCACACACAATTAAAAAACACACTATTAATTCCCCACACGCCAAATCACTAATTTTCACAACTTAAAAAAAACAACTAGCCCAAAAAAATAAAACCAACCCCAGAAACATAAGCAGCGCAGCAAAGCGTGCACTGCCTTTCTAGTCAAGTATGAACTGCGAAGTGTAGCGTACGAGAAAGCTGGTGAGTTTTATTAGCAAGATGAACAAATTGACAGGAGATAGATACATCATTCCTTCATTCACCAGGGCGAAAAGATCAAGCTTGTCCAGATTCAAATCCTGCTTTACAAACTTCCTCACCAAAGAGCAAAAACAAACCACAAATTGCAGAGAGGACACATCAAATTTCAAGATAGCAAAGACTTGCGATTCCAGTGACAGATGAATAGCAGAAGATATAAATCTTAAGAGAGGAAAACATATATAGGGAACATAGAGTAACTGGTAACAAACAAAAATCAGTTTAAAAAAAACGGGTAACAAGCAAAAATGCCAGTATCCATCATGTCACTCAGAATGCCATATCTCAACAGTGCACGTGTGGGAACATTGGTTCCTTCGACCTCACAGCAGAGGGCTGAAAGGGAGCACCAACTGAACCAGTGCTCAGATTACTAAAATGTTCATCACAGGGACAGATGGAAACTACACAAACCACAAATAAGGAGAGAAAAGTGGAGAAATGGATAGTACCATCCTGTTAATATTTCACAAATTAATAAAGCTTGGAAATTGTTTGGAAACCCAGCATTAAGGATATAGGAACATGAGAAATTAAACTCAATAACAACAGAGAAAATAAGGGAATAAGTTGTGACAAAGAAACAATGTTCTACATTTTGATCCATTAACATATTTTCCATACTATATTTTTGCAGGCAAAAGAATAACTTACAACTCCAACGGAAGGAAACATGCCACAATTTTTTTTAAAGGAAAACAGTAAAGAGGTGCTAAAGCAAAGAAAGAGCAAGCAACAAAAAATGTCAGTTTCCATCATGTCCCTCAGAATGCCATATCTCAACAGTGTACATGGATCTATTGGCCCCTTCAACCTCACAGCAGGGTACTGAAGAGGGAGCACCAATTGAACGAGTGCTCAGATTACTAAAATGCTCGTCATAGGGACAGATGGAAACTACATGTCAAGATGCTATTTCTATTTCAATCAAGCTGCACAATTTCAGAGAAACTTTCATACAGCATTAAGGTTAAACCAACATGGGAGATGAAAAGTTTGAGGAAAATAGTAAAAATATATGAGAAAGAAACAATGCTCTATCTCACCAAACATGTTTCGAACCCTTACATCTAGTTCTTTAACTAACTTCTGAATGTGCACACAACTTTATTTTTATAGAAAAACTAAACGTCGAGTTTAAATATCAGTTGGTTGATGTCATAAGCAACAGCAACTAGTTGGCCAGTCCACACAACCAGTTACTGTCCTTCACCTGATCCACCTGATGCTGCTGCTCTATCTTGAAGAAACATCTGTCTGTCCTCTTTCATCTTATTCACGATCTCGAGTACCTTTGGGTTATGGAAACGGTCCCTAACATACTTCTTTTCCTCTGCCTGTATTTCTTTGATAGCGCTTGGATATGGATTTGGAGGTGGTGGCTTTCCTTCTCTGCGTGCAATTTGTTTCAGTTCCTTGTATGCTAGCTTCTTTGCTTTTTTCTCTGCTCCATACTCCATCTGCCAAAGGATGTTAGTCATGCAAAGAGTTATAACTCTATACCTTGAGATTTGGACAGAGCAGGACCAATAATTGGATTACTGCTCCATCAGAGAAACAAATGATATATTTTAGAAGAGGAAAATTACATCTGCTACAGCCATTGCATCATCTTCATTGACTCCCTGTTCTTTCAACTCTAAGACACGCCAAGCAAAAACTCTTGCTGGCGGTGGATCAAACCCGCTTATCCTGAAAGAATTGGCTAGCTATTAAATTTTGTGTACAGTATGACACAAAAAGTGGGGAAAGACAATATCTGGGAGTGAAACAGAAGGGCAATGTTGACACCATCAACAGTCAGAAAAAGGAGTTGCTAGTCTGTACATGTACAATTGTACCTCCTTCAAACAAAAGCTTTTTTCGACTAATGCATCATTATGTAGTTGTATTAATCAGTTCAAAGGAAAAATAAGGCGAGCATCAAGTATCAAAATAACTACTCCCTCCGTTCAGAAATAGGCAGCGTGGTCTTAGTTCAAATTGCATGGTCTTAGTTCAAATTTGAAATGATTCTCATTAACCTCTCAAAAGGAAATTGTAAACAAAATGGAAGAAAGGCCAAACACATTCACATCCTCAATTCTGGAGCCTTATCAAACTTGTATACTTTACAGTCATGATTGTAATGATAGATATAACAAGAAAATTACTTTATTGCATCATGGTAGAGTGAATCAGGATGCCTTCTGAAGAACCTCTTGACATAGACATCCTCTGGCAGTTCTATCTTCTCGATTTTACCATCAGTTCTAGGGAATGTGACTGGAGGTGCCCTAATAAAAAAGCAACATGTGTTTCAAAGAAAAAACAAGCAACATGAATATAATGTAGAGAGAATTAGCGCATAGAAGAATAGGACAAACATCTTCAGTTCACAAATATTCAAGTTTACAGCAAATGGCAATTAAACCCAATTAGACAAACTTAATGCAGGAACCCTTCAGCCACAAATATCTTCTGCCTTCCCCAGATAGGAGATTTGATCAAGATCATGAAGGAAGAAAACAATACGGCCAAGGAAACCTGTTCACCTAACTATTAAATGGAGCAGTGGAGCACATCGATAAATAACGCCAAGATAAATAAATCATAGACCAAGTGGATGATGTAAACCCCCTATGGCACTGCATAGTGTGATCAGTTCACAAATGTTCCAGATGAAAAGGTAGGGCAGAGTTCGTTCTGTTTCACACAAACCACTCACAGCCAATGATCAACGTAAAAAATGTGGGATATTTGGATCGAGCATAACTGAAATAAGATGACAGATTTAACATTTTGGTGTGGAGTTTGAAGCTTGCCTAGGAAATGTATGCGCGTTTGCCACACAGTGCAAATAAATAAACTGTAAAAAACATGTTAGTCTGGTTGAAAAGCAAAACAGAGCACAGTTCGCTCTAGAAAATGGGGCTACATTGATTTACAATAATTCTGCATTCTTTCATCTAATATAAGTAACCATGAGAATCAAATGATAAAGGAAATGCAATCATCTATATGGATTGTAAGAGCGTAAATCAGAATATCGAGCCACCGACAGATGATGTTGTGGGCAATACCAAATCTAGTTTTACCAACTATACTGATAATCAACCGTATATGGAGGACAAATGCGATGAGTAGATCACCAAGGTTGGATCTCTCATTTCCACACAATTCACCGCACCAACATCAAACGGCCGGAGCAAAAACATAGCGGAAGTGGAGAGGCGGGGCTAGGGATCGAGAGAGTACTGACTGCTCCATGGCCTTGAGCCAGGCAGGGGCGGGCTTGGCCAGCCCCTTCACCAGTTTCCTCGTCTTCGTCAGCAGGTCGCCTCGCATGTACGACATCTCGCCTTCACAGCCGGTGGGCGGTGGCCGCCGCCGCCGCCGCTGCAACCGCGAGTGGGAGGAAATGCCGGCGAGATGGTGGCGGGATCGTTTTCCTTCTCGCCTTCGTGGCTAGGTCAAGAAGACCACCTAAATGGGCCGGGCTGAAGACGAACGGTCCGTTTCCTTCTCACGCGAAAGACGAATGGGCCCAAATGAGCCCAGTCTTATAGTTTATTCTTTCACTGCCCCTCTCTGGCTCTGGAATTTTCTAGAACCCTAGCACGATTCCCAAAACCCAAAGCTCCTCCTCATCCTCTTCCATGGCGCTGGCGTCCGTGCTCCCGCTCCTCCTCGTCCCCCGTCCCATCGTCTCTCCGAGGCCCACTGCAGCGGGCCGCTTCCTCTCCCTCTCCGCTCCCCTGTCCACCGCCGCTCCCGCCCCTGCCCCCGTCGAGCCCCTGAAGGCCGGCGGCCGCCTCGCGCGGCTCCAGCCGCTCCACGCAGCCTCCTGCTGCAACTCCGCCTCCGCAGCAGCATCTGGAGGAGTGGAGGCGGCCCGGGCGAAGGGCTTGCAGCTCGTGGCCTGGTGATTCCGTTGGACCTCTTCTTCATTCCTTGGGAATTTTCCCGCGTGGGTTCTGATGCTTCAGTAGAATACTGACACTGGGTGTGTTGAAATGGCCACGACAGGTACCTTCTGTCTCTTGACAAGCATCCGGTGGCGACCAAGGCTGTCACTTCTGCTGTGCTGACTCTGGCCGGGGACCTCATCTGCCAGGTTCGTCGATGCCAACGCTATTAGTTGCTGCCTTAGAGTGTGGTATTATGCAATGCAGCATGGGTTCGGTAGTGGTTTGTTGGTTAATTGCCGAGCCATGGTTTCAAGATGCGACCTCTTGTTCAGTTCTGTTTGGAGCTTCTTGTATGGTGAATGATTACCTCACAATTCTTCAGGAACTAGATCAGTCAATGTAATATTGCACACAAAGAAGAGTCTGAATGTTAAACATGCTGAACGCAATCTTATTGAAATGAATTTAGTCACAAGCAAAATTGTGCGGGTAAAATCAGGGTGGAAGAGTGTATTTATGCATGTACCACCTCGGTCCGGGTTTATTGGGCCTCCTCGTATTTTGAGCCAAACTTTGACCATATGTAAAACTAACAAAATACAAATTATGTGATATTAAAAGTATATTGCTTGATTTGTACTTGAAAGAGGTTTCCTATAGTATAATTTTTGTGATATACAATTTACATTTTATTAGCTAAATTTATGGTCAAACTTTAGCCCAGAATAAAGAGGGCCTAATAAACCCGGACGGAGGTAGTCGTAATGTAGTCTGGTAATGGCAAGCCGGAACTATTATTCATTCAAGAATGGACCAGTATCACGATTTTGCCATATGTCTTGTATTGTAAATTATATACATGCTTGCCTTCTATTCCATATATGTCTGCTACTAGTCTACTAGTGAATCATTCACCTTGTAGTTAAGTGCAGATGTAGTTTAGCAGTAAAGAGAAAACCCAAACTTTGTGCTGCGTGATGCATGCTTGTGTAAGTCTGATCGTGCACGAGCACCATCCCTTCTTAGTTTTGATGTGAAATTTACTAGGACGAGCAGACGTGAAATTGACAATCCTTCATCTACTTTTTCTTTTGTTGAAGCTTCTAATTGATAAAGTGCCAGAGCTAGACCTGAAGAGAACATTTGTGTTCACGTTATTGGGACTTGTCCTGGTGGGGCCAACGTTGCATTTCTGGTAATCTTGTCTTGTCTATTCTGCAGAAATTATGGTGATCAGTAGTTAGTGTCTGGTCTTGTTTGATTGATAATATGCCTTCATATGCAGGTACTTGTATTTGAGTAAATTAGTGACGATCAGCGGGACATCTGGTGTCATTTCTCGCCTGTTACTTGACCAGGTTTTCATCATTTCCTTCATATCCTGTTTTGCCTTCTTGAGTTGTTCTTATGTCCATTGCATTCCTGTTTGACATGTTAATTTTTAATTGTCTCCTTGCCCAGTTCGTCTTCTCTCCTGTTTTCATTGGTGTCTTCATGAGCTTACTCGTAACCTTGGAGGGAAAGCCATCTCTTGTAGTGCCAAAGCTTAAGCAGGTGAAAAGGATGTCAACCCTCTCAAAACCCTTCCCTGACACTGTGTATGTGTCATTTACTGATGAAGGACATTTACAACAATTGCAGGAGTGGTTCTCTTCATTGATCGCGAATTGGCAATTGTGGATATCGTTCCAGTTTTTGAATTTCTATTTTGTCCCACAGAAGCTCCAGGTCCAAAAAAGTTGCACATTTCGATAGTCTTCATTACAATGTTCAGTATATGTGAAATGAATTAGCTTAGCTATTTTCTGCCCCTTTATATAGTTTTGGCATGCTCTGAGTATTGCTCTCACCTAACTGCTGCCCTTTTTTTTCCAGGTTCTTGCCGCTAATTTTGTAGCCCTTGCATGGAACGTGATTTTGTCATATAAAGCTCATAAGAAGGTTATCGCGGAGTAGTCAAATAGGTAATCTTCAAATCTATATCTGTACATGTAACAGTCCTGCCTGTAGTTCTTCAGTCCTCTTGTATAAATTTTGTTATCAACCAGTTTTTCATTTTTTTATATATACGGAATTTCATCACATAGTAACAAAAGTGCACTTAGTCTGCCTACTATTTCCAGTTAGCATAGCAGCCTTTTATCAATAACTGTGCAACAAGCAAATATTTCCTGAAACAAACTACTTTGACAATAGAAATTAGCCATGGCAGATATGAAATTTCTGTGGTAATTTTCATTGGAGAGACTTCTCCAAGAACATATCTTCGACGGTGTCTTTCCTGATCACTGTATGTGGTGACACTGCAATTCAATGCACTTTTGAGTTGAGGTGGCCATCTGTTATGATATCTAAGACTTTACTGCTTTGTTGTGAGCTAGCCGAGAATTTATTGCATGGGAGTTTCACAGACCCTAGTATGACAGACTTTTTCTTATCGGTTACTTAATCTGTTGGGTCAAGTCAGATGATGCCTCATGTCGATGTGGTTGAAGTAATTGCATTTGTGGTCTTGCGTTACTTGAGTTTTCCTTTTCCCTTTCTTTCCTTTTGACTGGTAATGTGTTGTGCACTAGTCAGTATCTTAGACTTAATTTCTGCCAGCCTTGAAAGCTACCTTGTGGACTTGTTGTAGAATGATTGTGACTTGATCTTCACAAAGTCAGACCTCTCAGCTTCAATAAAACTTTTGCTATTTAACATGACACTGACTGGTGCTAAAGGTGCCTTTTGTTCTTTTGTACCTTGTGGCTGAGCTTAGAGGCAAAACACAAGTGAGTAAATGAAACAGTGCATCTGCTAAAAACACTGTCCTTTTGACTTGTAAGTTTGGCATAGGAGTATGACTCTCATTTTAAGTTGGTAACATTGGTGTGTGGTACTGAACTTATTGTGCAGAGTTTAGATATTTCTGTGCTTGGTGCTCCATCGCTTCTGCGCCGTTGATTAGCTTGTGCTTCTTACCTGGTCTTTTTGCTGACCCCTCACTTGTTGTTTCAGGTGAGAGAGTAGACTCTAGGGCGGGGTGCCTAGCCGGTTGCAACATGTGGCGATGTAAGGCTGAAAGAATAAACCTACTATCAGTTATCTTGGCGCCTCGTCTGTGTTATCCGACCGATGAAACACTTGCTAATGCTTAGTATTGTAAATTAGTGTCCATCTTGTCTGTCGAGTGCATCCCGCAATGACGGTTAAGCATGCGTTGTATAATCTGCATAACCGTTTGTGATGGGAGGTTGTTCTTGGTTTCCGCAGAATTACATAGTGTAAAATTCTGGTGTTCCTTGCAAATCAAAACTCAGGCCCCGGGGGTGTTAACTGGCACGGTGGTGTCGCAGTTGATGGCCGATTCGCCGGCGGCCGACGCGGGAGGGTTGGAAAGACTGCGGTGGTTGGGTGTTCCGACGGCGCACGTCGCTTCACGGTGCTTCTTTGTCTCTGCTTCACTGATCCATCTATCCGTCGACTAGACATGGTCTTGAGTCTGCCCCCACTGTCCGTAGGAACTCCGACCAAGGCTCCTGTGACTGTGAATAGCCGCAGATGGACGGCCTCTCGAACAGCTACCTTTGACTGAATAATTCTGAACCCCAGGTGAAGAAGAAGATGATGAAAAGAAATGACTGGTTAATTGAGTTTTTGACAAGATTTCATTTGATTTGATTGAATTAATACAAGACGTGAGGAAAGGGTGTGTGAGAGGAGAGGTGAGGGCGAAGACGAATGTACAAACACTTGTTCGTATTGTAAAAGGAATCTTAGAGCAACTCCACCCATTCCCCTAAAAACATGATGACTGTAAATTTTAGAAAAAGTTTACTGAAAGCAATTTTTGTTAGATTCCGTAAACTTCTTCCCCTAAAATTTGTGTTTTTTTTAACTTTCCCATTAAACAAGTCTAGGGCCTGCAAGTCAGTGACATAGGCGAGTTACGGAACGATAAGGAGCGGCGAGGCGGTGCGCTGGCGCACCGCGGGCTGAGCGGCGACATATGATGGGGCGGCGCATGACGGTGAGTTACAGCGTGATAGTGTGAGAGCTGCGGTGGTCCGGTGAGCAAGGCGTGAAGTTTCACGCGGTTATCTTGCCGCCAAAAGTTAATGGAAGCAAAGCTTCTTCTAAACTAGAGGAAAATTGAAGTTAAGTTTACACAATTCTGTAAGTTTATTTCAAGTTTATGGGATCTGTTAAGAGATATTTTTTGGCCTAAACTTTCTTTAACGGTAGTTCTTTCACGGATACGGTATCTGTTGGATGCTCTTACAAGTTCCCGATTAACTTTTTCGTGTCCTCAATAGTGTATCCAAGGCACACTTTGTCCTCTTAAAATGCCTAACACGACTTTAGCACCGCCAGTTTGAAGAGCCAGTAGGGCTGTGCACTTGTACTGGGCAGCAAACGGTACGTCCTCTTTATAATCGCAAAGAGCACGGCTTCATAAACATC